TTTGAATTTTTCTAGAGCCTCATTCATCTGTTTTGTTACTTCCTGTGCTATCAGTTCAGGGTGTCCAGGTGGTTAATTATCAGACTTCTCCACCTCATTTCCCCCAGAATTTGCCTTTTGCCAACTGGAAGTCTGTGTTTGTGTCCTGCTAACGTGTCTTCTCATTTTTAATTCTGTTGATGGTGCTGTTTTCTGCTTTAATTCCTGTGCTGATACTCCAATATTTCTTATTTTGAGTATCTTTATTACTGGTGTTTAGAGTCCCTATGGAGTGATTGCTTCTCAGAGATATCTTCCAGGTATAGCTGGACTTTTTAGGCTTTGAGTCTCTAATGACTCTTAGGCAATCTCATTTTCAGTGTACTAGGGAGGACAACTGATTAGATAAATCACAACACCTTAACCCAATTGACACAATTAGCATCAAACACAGCTTAGAAAATGACAATTTGTGGTAGCAGTGAATCTGTCCCTTAAACTTCGAGAGCTAGATCAAAATATGTTTGTAGTAAGTAGACCCTTCAATATGGCAAATTTACCCTTTGGGATAAGAATTTAGGAGGGGTTGGGGAGGGAGGGGTAGAGAGACAGAGGGAGAGGAAAAGGTTAGAGGTGAGGCTAGAGGACACAGGAAGGTCATGCAAATTGTTGGGATGTGTTGAAGATAGGAAAAGACAGAACAAAAGAACAGAGAAAGTACAGAACAAACTGACAACAATCGGGAAGCTAGAAATTGTGTTCACCTTCATATAAAAGTGACAGTCAAGAGGATAGAGTGAGAGAAAAAATTCAGAATGGGACAGGAACAGGAACAAAGAGGGAGAGAAATATAGAGCCAGACGGGATAGAGAGAGGAAAAAAAGAATATATATAAATATAAAACAAAACAAACAAACAAAAAAAAGTCTCCCTCAGGATATGTCTCTGGTAGAAAATGTGGGCAGCAGTGTGCAGGTCTAAGTGGATTAGTCTCAGCAAGCCAGCTGTAGTCTACTGAGACTCAGGCTGATTTCAGGCTGCAAGGTCTGAGTTGAGGTCCCTGACCTCCTGCAGGATTCAACTCTGCAAGGTTCTACTTCAGGTTCCAGCTGTCCTCCCCCTCAAGTGAGCCTGGGTTTCTATGGGAGGTGCTGGTCCCACCAACTTACCAACCACAATGATCCAGTGTGCTTTTATTGAATAGTTTTCTTCACTTTCCCAGTGGGCTTCAGTTTTCATTGGGGAGCATAAGAAAGGCCCTTTCTGTTGTTCACTTCTGCTCTACTGGGGTTCATAACCATGGCCTTTATGTTCCCCCCTGGTGCCTCTGCTGTGCGGATTCAGATGCAACATGCAGCGTCCCCGTGGCATGGTCCAGGGGGCCACGGAGTTTGTGGGACTGGGTTCTGGCAGGCGTGCACTGCTGGCATCCATGGGTAAACAATTATATTTAAAGAAACTATATACTAACAACTACAGAGGATACATAAGTCAGTTGAAGTCACTTATGAGTGTTATGGGAGGATGTAATTTTATTGTGATTATAGCATGTTCTCTAATTACCAATAAAATTATATATGAAATTTCTTTGAAAAGTTAGTTATTATTCAAAGGATAATACCTGAAGTAATATATATATAAAGTAATCATGTTTTATTGGAGTCTTTTGTTATAATTTGTTTAGATTAAGTACTTTTTATTCTACTCTCTGAATCCTGAATGTTTTAAAATGTTTCAGTTCAGTACAAAAGTGACATTTATAATGTTCTTTTCTTGCAGATAAGAATGTGCCTTTTGATGAACAGACTTCATCTTTCTACCATGAAGAGCAGAGTTTCTATGTTTAAGGAATAAGAAGCCACTATATCAATGGGGGAGGGGTATTTAAGTCATATACATTATGACCTTTAATTTTGTATTGCTGCAATAAATGCCACAGTTTGTTATTTTTTTGTATGTGTGTACAGAAATGCTCTATTAATGGACTTAATGTTAGGGATAAACTGTATTGTAATAGTTTATTTGAAATTTTTCTTTAAAGCAGGATTTTTTCTCATGAGTTTTTGTTTTTTGCTTGCCATATTATTGTAAACTTTTCTGTACTAATCAGTTAATGTATTTTTGCTAGTATCATATTTTAAAGAAACATAAAACCTAACAATAGTCTAGTATGTAAAAATAATTAAATTGTCCTTTACTGAAATATATTTCCCATTTCTGTGGGGAGAAGAAGCCAAATTTATTATGCTGTTTGGATTTTTTTAAATATTAATAAATTAGTTATTGTATGCAATACAATACATGTGATCTAAAATTCTTTTAATGTGGTACACACACAATATGTTTAAAATATAAACCTAAAGACTATAAAATTATGTATGAATACATGTATTTTATATGACTTCTAGTAAAAATCTTTTCAGAAAGTCTTTTCATCTTTTAGTAACTTCCACATACTTGTACATGGTACAAAATAAAATAAAAACTGTGATGCCTCTATTAAGTGATATAGTAAATACAGAGTGAGATACAAGTATCTAATGTGATTAGATATTTTATACATATGTGAATTTTAAAATTATATTTATTCATAATATAGTGTGAGACAGAATTAATGGCAAAATAATGGTATGGTTCTATAGCAAAGTGAGGAATTAAAGTAAATGCATTTCCTTTGAAGTCAAGAGTGTTATGTAGACACTGACTTCATCATCTCCAAATGAATTAACCTCATTGAGCTTCATTTTTTCCCATTGTAAAAGTTAGATAATCTATACGAAAAATGAATGATAAACTCAGTTGCTTTGTGATGATAGGATTTAAATGTGTGTATCAGTAAGAACAGATTAGGATAGATATACAGTATTACAAGATAGCCCTGAATTGTAGTGGGTTATAGCAAATATTTATTTCTCACTCATGCCACATGTATATTATGAGTTCTGATTCCTCTCTTTATTATTTCTCTGGACCAAAGTTGCTGAAGAAACCCTGCTTCCAATATTGTCTTATAACTAAACAGACATGATGAACCATATGGTACCTTATAGGCTTCTGCTTCAAATTGAGAATCTTAATTCCAGTTACATTTTATTGATCAAAAACCTCTTCGGCCACTCTAGACTTCAATAAAACAAGGATAGATAATCTTCTATCAAGGAAAAAATTTATATTTGTCCACCCAAAATGTCAAATTGGGGCTAGGAATGTAGCTCAGTGTTAGAATGCTTACTTAGCATGCATGAGATCCTGTACTTGTTTCTCTGCACCAGGAAACACACACACTCACACACACACATGCTCACAATACCAAAACAGTTTTATTTATATGTCAACTGCTTTTGCACAATGAGTCAGGTCATCTTTATTTCAGCATATATATATATATATATATATACATAGTGTATAAGCAGGCACTAAAAAGGACATTTCTTATTCCAAAGGGATCAGCTTTCTTCTCCTTTCATTAATAGTAACTACGAGGAAATACTTTCCTGGCATGCTGACTCAGCTTTTAATTTCCAAGGAAGCCAATATTCCAAGTTTCTTATATAAAATTATTCTATTTTAAATTGATATTTACAGAGAACACATTGATATCTACAGAGCCCCATACTTCAGGAGAAAAATACATAGATTAAAAAAAAATACATAAGATTTGGGGGTAATTTATGGACGTGTACAATGAATCGGAAGTTTCTGACCGCCACTGTGGTCAGAAATTCAAGTAGTTTATTTCTTCTTAATCATTTTTAATTAACACATACATAGTCATTTGTGTCATTCAGCTTTCCTGTCACTGAGACATGACATCAAGATGCCCACAGCTTAAAGGAGGAAAACTTTAGCTTGTTTCAGGAGATTCGGTACATGGTTACCAGGCTCCAAAGAGGAAACATCATGGCAGAAGACAGGAAAGTTGTTTGGTTTATTTGGCTGAGTTGCAGAACAAGGAAACCATGCCAGAAAGGAATATGCCAGGGACCATAATATATATTACTCAAGGCCAGGCTGCCATGTCCTACACAAATACCCGGGAGGGAATTTTGTAATCCTCTAGTCCTTTCATAATCCAGTGAAGTGGATATATCAGGATTAATGGTCACAATTGACCCTTTATCAATTTTACATCCAAATATGCCTTAAATCATACTCAATCTACAAAACAGACAATAGGAAGTTCATAATTTCACCTACCATACAACTATCTCACATACAACCTAGAAATGCAATCATCCCTTTTTCAAAATCTCAGTGATTCAACCATGTTTCAAAAGTCCAATTCTAAGTTTCTTCTAAGACTTAGGCAAACTCTAAGCTGAGAAAAATCTGGAAAAATCAAAAACAAGTTGCCTGACCCAAAGGTACAATGACACAGGTTAAACATTTTCATTCTAAAATGGAGAAATGAGATAAGAAAAAAGGAATATGACTGAAGCAAAACCACAACCTAGGAAGACAAACATTAAGTCCTGAAGCTTTACATCTAGTACCCTGGATACCATGGTAAAATGTGAGTTCTAAAGGCCTTGGGTAACCCTACCCCAACAGCCTTGCCAGCTGCAGCCCATGAGACCTCTGTCTTGTACTGGCTTCACTCATGCCCTACAGCTTTTTGATCAGCCTATGTTTCACATTCCTTGTACTTTCTGTAACTTCCTGGGGTCTCCAGTGCACATTCAGTTATATTCCCACAGCTTCATGCACAGCCCTCTTGGGGATTCCTTTCCTGGCCTATCAGGCTTTCCTTTAAAATCTGGATGGAAGGCTCCCTGACATCACAGCTCTTTCATTCTATAGGACAGTAAAACTACCTTCATGTGGACAATGCTGACATCAGCTGTCTGAAAGCAGTAGCCAGGGACCCTTGGACCATGACTGTACTTGCTTCTGAGTGCATGGATGGCTGAATTGAGTGCTGGAAAACCAACTCCCTAGGAGGATCTTCTGTAGCAGGAGTCCCAGGAATTCTCTTATCAAATGAGAAGTTAACACCCTTTGAGGCTGCCATGGGTCAAGGTCTTGCTGATTCTTAAAATGCCCTCAAGGGATCTCTTTTTGTCCCTGTACAAACTACTTGGCTTCTTTTTAATTGTACTAATATCATTAGCACCCACACATTCTTTACCTCCAACTTTATGCATAGTTCCTTCTGGGACAAAATTTTAAGTTTTGCAAAATTTTCTTTTCATTCTACTTTTGCCCCTTGTTCTGACTATAAATCTGGTATACACTCTTCAAGGCAGAAACTTCATGCCAGACGGGCATGGCAGAGCAAAGCTTCTTAGTACAGAGCATGGGAATAATACAGGAAGGAATAGGTGTGGGACCATATAGAGTACACAAGGCCATTCCTCCTTTAACCACCCAGGCACACCTGGGAGTGTGCTCTATTATATAGGTTCCTTCAGTACCCATTCAATATTAGAACAGATAAAAAAAACTTATGCAAGTAGTTTTTCTCAAATTGGCTTTTTTAAACAATGCAAATTCGAAATTCCTCATATTTTTTTCTTAATCTGTTGAGACTTTTTTTGGGTATCCTGGGTACCCATCTGTTGCTTAAAAATATTGGAAGTTCATTTTCTCTCTGACTTTGCTCACCTCCCTGTTTGAAAAAAAAAAAAAAAAAAAAAAAAAACTTGACAGAGTGCAACTTTGGCTGATTTTTCCTAACTCTGTCTCCAAAGCAGGGTTGACAACATCTAAGCCCCTAACTTTAGCTCTCATCATTTATTCTTGTCTTTCTCACTGAATATATTGTCGCATGGTTTTATTTTTTAATTCTCTACAGTGAAGCAGATTTTGATAGATAAAGGTAGATTAATCAACATTATTTCTCACATCCACAGAGGTCTACAGATTATTGCTCTTATCCTATTTGTCTGTCAAAACACCACTGAATATTTCTAGCAAAAGCATCTGAACTCTGAATACCTGCTGACAGTTTTATTTACCTCTAGCTTCCTCATGATGTAAAGGGTATAAAATATCTAAAGAACTGAAAGCCAGTACTATTAGTAGGACCAAAGGCACTGTAATTCATAGAAGTTTTGATGAACAAGATGACTTCTGTAGGAAGTATGATGGTTCTGAGGCTACAGGATTTTAACAAATTATCTACATCTATACCTATACCTATACCTCTCTGGCCACCAATTCTCCCTTATTCTGAATTTTATCCTTGAGCCAATTCAGATCCCCAACAGCTATACAACTTGACTACATTGTTTTTTATCTTGTAGCTATCTGGCATTATGCCATTACTGAAGAGAAGTGTTTTAAAATACATAGTTAGAAAAGATAAGCTTATATTTAATTTGTTGGTATTAAGAGTGTTGTATACCATACTATGTCCTTTTTAAAATAAGGATTAATGAGAAATATTTAGTTACATTCACTATCAAAATGGATTGAATTTCTACTAAGCAGATAGTTTGATTTTTACTTTGTATATGCTGGGAACTTGGTTACTCTATAACTGATTCTTTTTCTTTTCCCACAAAACAATTCTTTTCCGAATTGAGCCGGCAGCCTCTACTTTGCAAATTACAAGATATTATCTGTATGTATTCACTGAGCCACTGGAGGACCAGTGTGGTACTTGGCTACATGCAACACAAACTCAAATAAGAGTTTGTTTTATCTAATACCTGATGTCATAAAGTTTGTGATTATGATTGATTCTTTTATATATCAAATAATTCAGCATCAAAGACTAAGTTTTAAAGTTCTGATATTTAAAGTTTTCATGATCTCAAGATTGGCTCCAGCCAGCAAGCATTTCTCTGAAAAAGGCAGGACAGGACCAAAAGAACAAAAAAGAAAAGGAAAAAAAAGGAGCCTTAAGCAGTTGTCTCAGGGATCACTTATTTCAAATAAAATTCAAAATTTAGTAGTTTAAAAAATGTATTAGCTCAGTTTTATTTTGGTGTATTGACAAGACTTGGCTGTCCTCACTTGGAGTATTTTCTATTTTTTTTCTTTTT